ATATTTCAATGTTTATTGGTACTTATTTTATGACCTAGCATCCAGTTTATTTAGGTCACTTTTCCATGTACTCTTGAAAATAATGTGCTTTCTGCAGTTGTTGGTGAAGAGTCTGGCTCCTACAAATCATACTGTGAGCTCTCAGGCTCGACCAAAGGCAGTCTTAGCAGGCTACACAGGGTAAAGCTGACCTCCCTACAGCAGGCTTGGTGCACATGCAGTGCTGCAGTCTCCAAAGAGTCTGCAAGTGTTCATGCCCAGCTGGCCAGCCATGCTTTTAGGCATGTCTGCATTCCTAGCCCAGGCACCTCCACGAGGAGGCCTCTTTATGAGGTGCCTCTGCCAAGACATCCTCATTGAGGGGAAGGGGAAGACCTTGAAGATACTTTCTTTCCATGCTGACTTAGTACTCAGTGCTTTTCTACTCCTAGCCCTTCCCACATCTCCTCCTCTGCTCCCAGTCCATAAAATGACAGGAGCCTTTTGGGGGGGGGGCTGTTGCTTCCTCTGTGGTGAAATGATTCCCCACATCTGCACTGATCCACCTGACGCTCTTTCAGTGCTATGGAACAGAGGGACAGTCAGCACTTTATCTGGGTTGGCCTCTTACTCATACTAAGTGATTAGTAAGTGCTTAAAGCCTTGACTATTACTTTCAATGTAGTTTATTGTCTTAGTCAGCTATTTTGACACCTGGTAGCTCAGCTCTCTCCAGTTCAGCTCAGCTATATTCTGTATGTTTGTCAGTTAAGCCACGGTACTTGATATAGTAGTTTATAAATCCTCTGTATTGTTACTGATTTTTTTTTTTTGGGGGGGGGGTCTTATTCTGTAAATTACTGAGTGAAAGATGATAAATTTTCCAACTCTGATTGTAGGTTTGTCTCATTCTTCCTTTAGTTCTGTCAGTCTTTGCTTTATATATTTTGAAGCTTTGTTATTAAATCTCTACATATTTAAGATTGCTTTGACTCCTTGATAAACTGATCCTCTTTATCCTAGTATTTCTCTTTGTCTTGAAGTCTATTTTGTCTTACCTTAATACAGGCACACAAGCTTTTTTATGCTTAGTATTTGTATGGTATATTTTTTCTCACCATTTACTTACAACCCATCTATGTCTCTGTATTTAAAGTGTGAAGAGCATGTAGTTGGTACTTGCTTTTTATCTTGCCTTGATACTGTTTGTTTATTTTAATGCTTGGACTATTATTAATACAATTTAGTTCAAGACCTGTCAGGGATAGGAGCATCCATGTATGTCTCTTAAGAAGAGCTTGGCACTTTATGGAATTTAGCTCATTTAAACTTCTGTATCCTCAGCTCTCTGATGAATTTTAAAGAAATTATGATTTTTCATTTTATCTGAGTTCTTTTTAAGTTGTTAGGATGTGCACAGTCATCTATTTCAGATTCCTACATGTGGAAGAAGTAGAATTTCTAATTAAATATTTACTGAGCACCTAAAGCAATGATTCTCTACAGGAGCAGTGATTCTCCCTTGGGGATGTTTTGGAAATATATCTGGGTACTTCTGGATGTTAAAATAACTGAGTTGAGGGTAAAGCCTTCTGGCTTTTGAAGGACTGAGGTCATGGATCTAGATTTTTCTTCTATAAAGGGCTAGACAGTAGATATTTTAGGCTTTGTGGGCAATATGGTCTCTGTTGCAACTAATTATTTAACTCTGCCACTGTAGTATGAAAGTAGCCAAAGGCAGAACAGAAATGAATGAATATGGATGTGTTCCAATAAAACTTTATTCACAAAAATAGTTGGTGGGCAGAAGTTTACCATCTTCTGATCTAATTATCTTCCAGTGCACAGCAAAGCATTGTCATTGACTTGCAAAATGAGGACCATACCTGGAAAAAAATGTGTTCCAATAAAACTTTATTCACAAAAATAGTTGGTGGGCAGAAGTTTACCATCTTCTGATCTAGTTATCTTCCAGTGCACAGCAAAGCATTGTCATTGACTTGCAAAATGAGGACCATACCTGGAAAAAAATGTATTTATAATTATTTAGGTCTAGAACCTCTCACATAAAGCATGTATTACATGATTCATTTCAAATTGCTGAATGTATCTGTTTTCCTATTTCTTTTATTTTTATTTTTTAAGATAATTTGTTATACGTACATGTGGGGTACAATGTGGGTTTTCAGTAGTTGAGTACAATGTTTGACGGTTAGATCAGGATAGTTAAGTTATTCATCATTACAATATGCAGTCATTCTTTGTGGTTTTTAAGCAATTCGTCATTAGCCCCCTTCCACCTCTAGTAACCACAGTTCTTGTTTCTCTTTCTAAAAGTTCAAGGTATCACTGTGATTGTTGTTGCTATCTTTTTCTCTCTGTGTCTCTCTTTATTGTTTATTTGTTTATTTATTGATTCAGCTCCCAGTTATGAGTGAGAACATGCAGTATTAAAAATATGAAATGCTTCATGACTTTGCATGTCATCCTTGCACAGGGGCCATGCTAATCTCTGTGTCGTTTCAATATTAGTATATGTGCTGCTGAAGGGAGCACTATTTTCCTATTAATGTATGGTTTTACTGTTATATGAATTTTCAAGGAATGCAACTGTGGTTTGATTGAGAAAAGATTATACTTTTTTTCTTGTTTTTTCCTTTTAAAAAAAAATTTAGTAGGTTAAGTGATATACTTTGTCTTATTCAGAAATTTACTGTGATTTTTTTTTTAACCATTTCAAAAAGTCACAGGACTGAATGCAACAGTGCTTATGATATTTGACTGGAAGCCTCCATTTGTAGATGATGCATTTTTATTATTCCACACATACACAGACATTGATATTTAGCCTTTACTTCAAATTGTCAAGTGTAAATAAAAAGTGTCAACAATATTTTGTTGAATTCTTGTCATTTTATAAATCTATATTTGTTCATTTTAATTATAAGCATGAGCATTTAATTATTTGTGCCTTCTAATGTAGTCGTGTATGATCATTAATATATTGAAATAGAACAGATGGAGATAGATGTGTTATATTATCTGTGAATTTTATTTCAGAAATGGTGGAGAAGTTGTTATAAATATATATATCGTATACAGAAAGCATTGAGTTTGACTGGGATAAGAACCATCATTTACTATATATGTGTCCCCTTTAGTGTGTGTTTTGGAGGTAAGAACAAAAGACAAAGAGACAGGAAGAAGAGAGCAACGAAGATAATTCTAACTTAATCATTTGTTGCTTTGATAAAAGCCTGATCTCGTAGTTCTGGTTTCTCCTCCCCAGCTCTTCCTTTTCCATACTCCATGCTTCCCTAATATAGAAACTCGGAAGAGGACTGGTCATTTCTTGCAGCTTTAAAAGCTTGGCTCAAGTGAATGGGTGTTTCTTTGTGCTCTCTCTAGTTACTTTTTTATAGGGCTATGCATGTTTGCATTTCTTATTCCTGAAACGTCCTTCCTAACTGACCCTCTCAGGAATGTGCTCCCCATTTTGTCCCATTTTTATAAGTGATAGTGTCTTCCTTAATTATGTCTTTCTAATCTAACCTATATTCATGTTTATTCAATCATCCATTCAGTATCTTTGACAAGGAGCACTGATGTAACAATAGCAGATTTCCCGGATTTTATAACAAAAGGATGTTAAATGGCACCACACATGAAAAAATTTTGGACTTCTCTTTAGACCTGAGTTTCCCAGCTAGACAAAATAGGAGTTGGTCTTTTTTTTTTTTTTTTTTTTCCTTTTTGTCTTTTTTCGTGTCCGGCAACGGGATCGCAACCCTCGGCGTCGCACCCGCACCTCGCTCAGCCAGTGAGCGGGAACCGGTCTGTATGTGGGATCCAAACCCTCGGTGGGAGCGCTGCTGTGCTCCCAAGCGGCGCATTGTAGCAGTGTGCCACCGGGCCGGCCCCAGGAGTTGGTCTTGACTGGGCTCAGTTTCACTACATGACAAGAACGCATGCTTTATGAACTTTTTAGATTAGGAATATGATTAGGGACTGAATACACAGAGATCAGCGATCTTCCCGGGAATGCATAACTGATGAATACCAATAATGTGGAATATTTTGAGATTCAGCATTATGTGCTGATCTTGAATGTATAAGTTTGGGTTATCTTTTCTTCCTTTCTATTGCTTAGAATGAAGAAAAGTTACATTTAAAAGTGACAAATAGTGACAAGAAAGAAATCATCATTCACCTGTATAAGTAGTTGAGAACTGTAAACTCTGAGAACTAAGAAATACTTATGAGATTTTTATATAACCTGAAATGTTCAAATATGAACACTAATTAAGTCAGATGTATTCATTATATGGAGCTATTCTGTAGCCTATAAAATATTTACCAAATTATTGGTGACAAGGAAAATACTTATTATTTTTTTTTTTTTCAAAGATGACCGGTAAGGGGATCTTAACCCTTGGATTGGTGTTGTCAGCACCACGCTCACCAAAGTGAGCAACCGGCCATCCCTATATGGGATCCGAACCCGCGGCCTTGGTGTTATCAGCACCACACTCTCCCGAGTGAGCCATGGGCCGGCCCCAAGGAAAATACTTATGATGTAATACTCTGATATAATGATGAATCAGAGGCTTCATCTGATTAATCAATTCTTCAAATTCTTTAATTTTATTCAAATTTTATTTTGTAAGATTTTACAGAAAATATTCCCAATTATTTTTCTTATTCCTTAAATAGAGAAGAAAGAAAAACTTTCATTTATTGAGAACGCATGATATACAACATACATATTGTACAGGGTGCTTACGTATGCTGTTTCTTTCAATTGGGACATTACTTTTACTTTAATTCCCAGGCTTATCTGTATAATGAGATATTCTATATGCAGAAAATATCTACAGCAACAGGAATAATCAGGAGTATATTGGCACTTCCCACCTTGTTTGCTCTATTGCCTCCTTTGTGGCATGTTCCCCATCGTCTCTCCCACCATTGAAAAAATGTTTTCTTTATTTCCACAACTAATATTTTGTTTGTTGTTTCAGAGATCAGTGATGTTCAGGGATGTGGCCATTGACTTCTCTTGGGAAAAGTGGGAATGCCTGGACTCAAAGGGATTTGTATAGAGATGTGATATTGGAGAACTATAGCAACTTGGTGTCATTAGGTAAGGATATTTTCCCCTCACATTTTAGAGTCTACCTTTGGAATGGCTCCTTTCTTTGCTGTTATTTCAAGGTTGCTTTTTCAGTAATTAGGTGAATTTTTTATTATTAATGGGTTGTAATTACTTGAAGTAGATAGTTACTTGATGATCAGTGGGCTAAGCTAGATTTGAATTTTAGGATACTTGCAATATTGTCAGAAAAAAACAGGCTATGGGTTATTACACTTTAGATCTGTTAAAGGAGCTCTAAATAATTCACAGACTGAATCAAGTTAAAAAAATAGATGCAGAAAAGTATGGCTTTTTTGATAAGAAGAGCTTATATCATTTGTATAGTGATAAGGTGGATCGATGTGTTTCACTAATAACTGAAGTGAACACAATCCATTATTTACAACAAACATATTATCTTAATATGCTTGGTAGCTGAATATTACATATTAAGAGCTTTGTATTTTACATTGAATGAATATGCTAGAATCACCTTTTATTAGAAAATAGTTCAGGATGAAGCTGTAATTGTATAAGAAAGTTTATTGTTCTTTTCCTTTAGTAGTTTAATAAGGGACAGAGCCTATATCAATTAAAACTTTAATAAGTGATTTGCCTGTCTAGATGAACACTATTCCTTGTACTCCTGATGTCACTGGACTATAACTGTCTCTTGCCTCTTCACTCCTTTTTCCTCTGAAGGCTTTACGAAGTTATTGGTTGGTACAGTCCCCTGCAGGGCCTAGGTTGTATGGAAAAAAGACCTATCACTTGAGAAAAAAGCAAGGGCTTTTCAGCATCATCTCCCTAAGGAATTCTACCTCATCCCTACTTCTCTCTCCCTATTGGTCTTTTATTAAAATCCTACCCCCTTTCAAAGGAGGGACTGGCTCTTCCTTTTCCTAGTAACAACCCTTTTATGTAAACATGGAAATCAATCCCTTTTCAGATATTTTTTTAAAATTCAGGCATATCATTATCTCCATTCTTTAAAATGTGTTTGTTAATTCAATATATATTTATTGAGGGCCCGTTCTGTGCTAAGAACTGTAGTAGGCATTGAGGAAATAATGATCCAGACAATGTTCCTACTCTCCTGAAACTTAAATTCTTGTGAGAAAAATACAACATAAATAAGGAAACAATAATATATGTATATGTGTATGCATATTTGTATATACACTCACACACACACGTGTACTTCAAAAAGTCCATGAAAATGAAATTAAAAGATAATGCAAGTCTTTCCATGAACTTTTTGAATACCCCTCATATATATACATTTATTTAATACATAGAATATGAGGTAGTGAATAAAGGTAAAGAAGAGTGGGCAAATAAAGAATAATGGGAAGTGGGCATGGCCTGTTTTAAGCAGGTCGATTTTGGAAAAGGCTCTCTGAAGAGGTAATATCTGAACAAAGAGGATTAAAGTAAGGGTATGAGTCAGTCCAATGTCTTGGGGAACAGCATTCTTGGCTGAGGGAGTAGTAAGTGTATAGGTGTTAACTTTACTTGTAAGGGGAACAGAAAAATATTATGTCTAGAGAAAAGTGAATAATAGAGTAATAAGAAATAAAGATAGTTAGGCAATAGAAAATGCCCCCTGACTCCTGGCTGAAACAAATGCAAATATGCTCTGGAGGGAGGAAACCTTTAGAATTCTTACAAATTAAAATCAACAAAAGGTGAGCTCACAAAGATCATCAAACCCACAAGGAGACAGGTCACAGAAGAGTGATAATCTGAAGAAATAACAGATTACATGGCAAAAAACTTACATATTAGAATTATTAAATGTAGATATAAACTTGGTGAAATGTTTGAAGAAATAAATTAAATCACAAAAATAACCAATAATAAGAGATTTTTATAAAGGATCAGATTTGAAAGAGAACCAAATCTGTCATTTCTAAAGGTTCTGTTTAGTTCTTTTTAAAAATAATCATTGAAAGATTGATAAATTTGACTACATAAAAATTATTGTTTGTCCAAGACGTCATAAAGTAAAAGACAAATCTTTGAATTGGGTGATGATACTTGCAGTGCATATAGACAATGAAATTGCTATCCAGAATATAAAAAGCTTTTACAGATTGATAAGAAAAATGTAAATAATTTTTTTAAAATTCGGTAAAAAATATTTACAGACAGTTCAAGGAAAAGGAAATGCAAATTAAAACCACAGTGAGAACATTATTTCACATACCATAGATTGGCAAAAATTAAGAAGTCTGACAGTGCCAAGCATTTGTAACATTTGTGGGCAAAAGTGCTTCATACTTTGTTATTCACAATAGCCAAAAAGTGGGAACAACCCAAATGTCCATCAACTGATGAATGGATGAATAAAATTTGGTATATCCTTACAATGGAATATTGTTCAACAATAAAAAGGAATGGTGTTCTGATACCTGCTAGAAATGTCAAACCTTGAAAACATGCTAAGTAGAAGAAGCCAGACAAAAGGCTACATATTGTATAATTGCATTTATTGAAATGCCTTCAATAGGCAAGTAAAAGTAGATTACTGATTGCCCAGCTCTGGAGATGGGGGGAAATGGAGAAAAGGAAGTGGGAAAATAGGAAGTGACTGCTAATAGGTAAAGACAGCATTTCTTTTTGGGGTGATAAAATGTTAAAAAATTAGATTGCGGTGATTGTTGCACAACTCTGCAAGNATGCTTGGTAGCTGAATATTACATATTAAGAGCTTTGTATTTTACATTGAATGAATATGCTAGAATCACCTTTTATTAGAAAATAGTTCAGGATGAAGCTGTAATTGTATAAGAAAGTTTATTGTTCTTTTCCTTTAGTAGTTTAATAAGGGACAGAGCCTATATCAATTAAAACTTTAATAAGTGATTTGCCTGTCTAGATGAACACTATTCCTTGTACTCCTGATGTCACTGGACTATAACTGTCTCTTGCCTCTTCACTCCTTTTTCCTCTGAAGGCTTTACGAAGTTATTGGTTGGTACAGTCCCCTGCAGGGCCTAGGTTGTATGGAAAAAAGACCTATCACTTGAGAAAAAAGCAAGGGCTTTTCAGCATCATCTCCCTAAGGAATTCTACCTCATCCCTACTTCTCTCTCCCTATTGGTCTTTTATTAAAATCCTACCCCCTTTCAAAGGAGGGACTGGCTCTTCCTTTTCCTAGTAACAACCCTTTTATGTAAACATGGAAATCAATCCCTTTTCAGATATTTTTTTAAAATTCAGGCATATCATTATCTCCATTCTTTAAAATGTGTTTGTTAATTCAATATATATTTATTGAGGGCCCGTTCTGTGCTAAGAACTGTAGTAGGCATTGAGGAAATAATGATCCAGACAATGTTCCTACTCTCCTGAAACTTAAATTCTTGTGAGAAAAATACAACATAAATAAGGAAACAATAATATATGTATATGTGTATGCATATTTGTATATACACTCACACACACACGTGTACTTCAAAAAGTCCATGAAAATGAAATTAAAAGATAATGCAAGTCTTTCCATGAACTTTTTGAATACCCCTCATATATATACATTTATTTAATACATAGAATATGAGGTAGTGAATAAAGGTAAAGAAGAGTGGGCAAATAAAGAATAATGGGAAGTGGGCATGGCCTGTTTTAAGCAGGTCGATTTTGGAAAAGGCTCTCTGAAGAGGTAATATCTGAACAAAGAGGATTAAAGTAAGGGTATGAGTCAGTCCAATGTCTTGGGGAACAGCATTCTTGGCTGAGGGAGTAGTAAGTGTATAGGTGTTAACTTTACTTGTAAGGGGAACAGAAAAATATTATGTCTAGAGAAAAGTGAATAATAGAGTAATAAGAAATAAAGATAGTTAGGCAATAGAAAATGCCCCCTGACTCCTGGCTGAAACAAATGCAAATATGCTCTGGAGGGAGGAAACCTTTAGAATTCTTACAAATTAAAATCAACAAAAGGTGAGCTCACAAAGATCATCAAACCCACAAGGAGACAGGTCACAGAAGAGTGATAATCTGAAGAAATAACAGATTACATGGCAAAAAACTTACATATTAGAATTATTAAATGTAGATATAAACTTGGTGAAATGTTTGAAGAAATAAATTAAATCACAAAAATAACCAATAATAAGAGATTTTTATAAAGGATCAGATTTGAAAGAGAACCAAATCTGTCATTTCTAAAGGTTCTGTTTAGTTCTTTTTAAAAATAATCATTGAAAGATTGATAAATTTGACTACATAAAAATTATTGTTTGTCCAAGACTTCATAAAGTAAAAGACAAATCTTTGAATTGGGTGATGATACTTGCAGTGCATATAGACAATGAAATTGCTATCCAGAATATAAAAAGCTTCTACAGATTGATAAGAAAAAGTAAAAATAATCATTGAAAGATTGATAAATTTGACTACATAAAAATTATTGTTTGTCCAAGACGTCATAAAGTAAAAGACAAATCTTTGAATTGGGTGATGATACTTGCAGTGCATATAGACAATGAAATTGCTATCCAGAATATAAAAAGCTTTTACAGATTGATAAGAAAAATGCTATCCAGAATATAAAAAGCTTCTACAGATTGATAAGAAAAAGGTAAATAATTTTTTTAAAATTCGGTAAAAAATATTTACAGACAGTTCAAGGAAAAGGAAATGCAAATTAAAACCACAGTGAGAACATTATTTCACATACCATAGATTGGCAAAAATTAAGAAGTCTGACAGTGCCAAGCATTTGTAACATTTGTGGGCAAAAGTGCTTCATACTTTGTTATTCACAATAGCCAAAAAGTGGGAACAACCCAAATGTCCATCAACTGATGAATGGATGAATAAAATTTGGTATATCCTTACAATGGAATATTGTTCAACAATAAAAAGGAATGGTGTTCTGATACCTGCTAGAAATGTCAAACCTTGAAAACATGCTAAGTAGAAGAAGCCAGACAAAAGGCTACATATTGTATAATTGCATTTATTGAAATGCCTTCAATAGGCAAGTAAAAGTAGATTACTGA